TTGGGAAGTTTAAAAATAATGAAGTGGAGGCAGCTTTTCTGGATTGCGTTCTGTGTTGTGGAGTTGTCTGGTGAGTATTGACTGCAGAAAATACCAGGGCTGCAAGCACTGAGTAGCGTGAGACTAGTGCATGGGGCAACTTCTTTACAACTTTAAAGTTATAACTTTAATAACTTCTGAGACAGCAGCTTGGGGGGGATGCATTTTAATGAGTGTTTAGTGGAGATAGCAACTTCACACGAAGAACACCGCAGTGACATTTTACAGAACAGCACTGCATCGGGCATCCTGGCCAACACATTCACAGCGATGTGCTGCAAACAGAAAATGCTGCTGGTTTGAAAAGGAGAGCCATCAGGATGTAAGAGCTCCCTATCATATTGCAGATAACACAAGGGGATGCAAAGCTGTGAAGTGCAGCCACGGTTCAAGCCGTTTCTCAGCCTGCATTGGTGGAAGTTAGCCTTACTGCTGTTTTGTGGTAGGAACTAAACATTTTCTGAAAATCAAATGACTATCCATAAATATTAAAATCTCCTATTCCAGCTCTTCAAATATTCATCATATGAAAAAGTGAATAACAATACAGCGATTTTCTCTAGGTAGTACTTTTTAAAGGGTTATATTTTAGGGAAATATTATAATTTTTGTCCCAATCCCAACAACCATAAAGTCATAAAAAGGGACTAAAAAAAGTGAAGCAGCACTCTGTGTGCTGCATAGCGTGCTGGGACAGGAGCCAGGAACCTGCGGGTCTCTCCTCAAAAGTAATTTTTCCTTACTTACATGAATGTGAGCGACTAGATCGATTGAAAGAATTTGCTGCATTTTGTTCTTCTGTTTCACGGTGCTCCTTTCACATTCCCTTTGCTGCCAAGGTATATTGCTCACCCGAGCCGTTGTGCCTGATCCTCCAGTCTATGTTAATTCTACAGGAAGAAAAAAAAAACAATTTTATTTGGGACAAATAACAGTCAGGACTGTCTGGTTGGGCTGAAGTGAGCAGCAAGCGAGGGTGTAGGACAAAAGTGTTTACCTGAAACACGAAACCCGAGTTCCTTGTAGTACAAAGCAAAAGTGATGCAAAAGTGATTGATGCAAAGGTGATACAAAAGTGATAAAAAGCTTTGCCTTTGTAAAGACAAAGCTACCAGGCGACAGAGGATTTAATGTTGCAAAATGTCATTCCTTTTGCCAGCACAGCCAAAGCTCCACATTTCTGCAGGATATTACGGTGCTTTATTAGCACTTGCTGGAGAGTAGAGGAGGTTTATTTCTGCTCAGTGTAACTGCTGTACAGAGCAGAAGAAAACCAGGGAGCCCGTCCTTGGGGCTCTGCAGGCTCTTCATCTCTTTGGGGAGTCCAAGTGAATTAAGCGAAGGTTTCAGTTACGCATCTCCCAGTGGAAATCCCGATTCTGGGGCGTTTGTGCTCAGGTTGGCTCCTGGCAGCGCTGTTGAGGGTAGGATGGCCGGCCTCCACCTGCCCCCCGGGACAGCTTCAGCTAAAGCCACGCGTTTTACAGGGGAAAAAAAAACCCCGTGCCACGCTGGGCCGGGTGCAGGTCTTCTACAAATGCCACGTGTGGATGCGGCGTGGGGAGGCCGGAGGCCGGGTACCGACTAGCTGCTAACTGCAGTCTGACTCCAGAGCAACGAGCAGCCTCGTCCAGCCTCACAGGGAGTGAATTGCATATGAAATACACAGTTCTGGGGTTTGCCTGATCCTTTGGGGAGCTGCTGGTTTGCAATGAGTGTGGGAGAACTTTACGCTTGTCCCTGGTCCACAGAGCGGGCTGATGCTCCGGGGCTGCTCGAGAGCCCTCCGCCTGCGCAGCGGCGTGATGCTGCGAGCGGTTCTCAGTGGTGAAATTGGGTATTGATAAACCACGTGCAGAGCTGTCCTGTGCTTGTCTCAAAACTTACGTGGAAAAGAATGTATTTATTCTATTAGTACCTAATACAAACACGTTCTTCTTTCAAATTTTTTTATCTTTCTGTTTTATATCTTTTTTTATTCATCTCTGCCAAACTTGATTTTAAAAAAAAATCTCTTTTCTTGCCATTTTAAAGCATTCTTTCTTTCCTTTGTTCCTTTTGCAAGATCTAGAAAAGCTCTAAAAATCAGGGAAGGAAAAAGGAGCTTTAAAACTCACAGCCACTTGAGTTTAATGTCCTTTAGAGGGCTGCACATCATAACTGCGCAAGCCAGGAGCAACCTTGGTCCCTAGGAAGGTGCCGGGCTCCCAAGCAGCGCCCTGCTGCTGGGGAGGCCCCGAGCCCAAGAAAACCCTTGGTCCAGCAGCTGGGGTTTGGCACGGCGGCTCAGGGGGCTCCCCGCAGCCCCCTGCCCTGTGCGCCCTGCGTGACTGCGGCCCCACACCCATATCCTGTCCGGGAGAAGGAAAAGGGGGAGGGAAGGGATTTTTTATCAGATATTTCCAGAGGGAAGAGGGCTCCACCCGCTTGAATTCCTGCCACATGGCTGAGAGTAGTAAGACTGGAAAGGCGGGAGTAATGCAGGCTGGAGCCCTCGGAGGGGTGGCTGCGGGAAGCCTGGGCTGGCCGCAGCTTCAGAGATCCCTGCTCCCCTGCTTTCCTTACCCTCCTCTTCCGCGGCCGCTGGTACCAGCAGTGCCATGGTGCCAGCTCACCTGCGGCGCTTTGCCGTAGCTCAGCCGCAGCCCTTCTGGGTGCACCGGCTGCGCTTGGAAAACCGCTTTGTTAAACGCACAGAAGAGTTCGAGAAACTATCCTGGCACAGGCTTTCTGTGTCAGAGCACTGAAGTAGCAAAAGGTTTACCAAGAGGTTTACCAAGAGATTCATGTATCAGCCGGTATCAGCATAGGAGGTGCAATTACTGTCTGGGAATCCCCTGTGGGTGGCACCTTCCACCTTGCAGGGATGGAGGTGCAGGGGAGAACCCCCCGTGTTTAATCTGCTGCGGGTGCAGAGTAGGGCACAAGTTATGGCAACTTTTCTCCTGTTTCCTGAGCCACTGCAGAGTTTTGCCTTCTGTGGTCCTGGTTTAGTGTCAGGGATGAGTGTTGGACCGAGTCAACTACTTTAACATTTATATTGTTGCTTTTTTTAATTTGATTTGAGCTGAGATACTTCCTAAGCCCCGTTATTAAAATATCTTTAAAAATCAGAGGCATTTACTTTTTAAACGCTAGATAGGTAAATACAGTAGTTACTGTGAAGTACAGTTTTCTTTCACACACCTGCATGCTTTTGCTCCTGCATGTGCTAGCCCTACCAGGTGAAGTTTTCTCCAAGGTTAATAAATGGCTTGGCTTAAACTCTCAAACCCTTAATCCTAACACATTGACAAAGTTTAGCAAAGCTAGTAAAAATGTATGGTGCAATAAATGACCCACTTTAGCTGAGCACCATGTGGATTATCCAGCTCACATCTGGATCATTTATCTCATGAGTCCTAAGGTTTCACAAAACTTAGCCATGTTTTCTGTAAAAGTACCTGCATACACTACAATAAAGGGAAGAAAAAGAGATACTATGTGACAAGTCTTCTCACAAATTACACTGAGCAATAATCCAGGCTTCAATCTATGATATTCAGTGGTGAAAAGACTTTGATTAGAAATACCTCTGGTGCTTTACAAACATCTGGAATAGTTCAAAGGTGCTTGGGTGGCTGTGGCACTTGGGGAGGTCAAGTCCAGGCCCTACGTTGTCCTAGTGATGTAAAGTTTCCTGCCAATGTCCATGCAAACACAAGGCTGTATGCAAAGCGTGGATTTAACTTTGTGCTACTCATTATTCTGGGCATGCAGTCATGCCTCCTGCTTTTGATTTGTAAAATTCATCAGAAAAACTTGGTGATTTAACCAGTTGGAACTGAACTGTCTTGGAGAGAGAAAAAACTTCTCCCTTAAATAAAAGCCATTCCAGAACCTAAATCCCAGCTCCAGACACCTGCACCGAGCCCTCGGCAGGGCCCCCGCCTCCCCCCCGGTGCTCCCACACCCAGAGCAGCTGCAGCCGGGACGGGACGGGACAGGACGGGATGGGACGGGACGGGATGGGACGGGACGGATGCACCAGCGTGGGTGGCCCTGTGGGGCCGAGCTGGGGTGCACTCCCCGCTCAGCACCCTCCGGTACGACCACCCACCGGCTGCAGGAACAGCCGAGCAGCTCATCCTGCTGTCACCCATTGCCAAAACGAACTGCGGCGATCTCGGTCTTTGCTTTTCATACACCGTCCAGCTTCTCTGGACCTGATCCAGCAAAGTGTGAACACCCCAACTCAAAAAAGTTCCTGCCAGGACAGCACCGCAGTGCACGATACACAAATGCATGTTTAACTGGCAGCGGATGCATCGAGCCCGGCCGCTGCCCTGACGCTGGTGCTGGGCAGCCGATCAGGACCTGTCAGTGCTGCTCCATCTCGAAGGGTTGTTTGGATGAAGTAATTCTTCTTGGAGCTCGGGCTCCCGGGGCAGAAATACAAATGGAACAATGTATTCTGTATGATTTTCTCTTTAGTGCCTGGATAAGAATCTTAAAATGCAACAGCCCTGGCATAGAGACCGAAGCTGTTTGTAAAAAGTGGAACTAGATCTTAAGAATAGAAAAGGTTAAGAAATGGGAAGAAATGCATTTTCACTGACATATAGTTCATTTCAGAAGGAAAAGCTGGAAGTGTCATCTTTGTAACATAGCAGGAAGCAATATATAAACTTTAAGTTAGAACAGCAAACCATTCTCCAAACATTCAGTTTTACCTCCAAAGATGTTTTTGCTCATGAGTCAGAGCTGATCCCAAGCCAATGGGAATGTTTCTATTTACTTTGAGATTGTGCCTGCAACTGCAAATCCAACTTATTTTTCCTGAGGCACACAAATGATCTCTTCCAAGGCCCGAGTATTTCCTCCAAGGATTATAAACCCAAACTACTATGAAATCCAGCTTTGTGCAGAGCTTCGTGCATCCCTCGGTAAGCCCGAGGATCGGGCAGGATGAGGGCAGAAACGAGCCTGTCCTCCTCCAGCGCTGTCCCAGGAGCCCTGGAGCCTCTGCAAGGGCTGCATCAAAATTTGGTACTCGCCCAGCTGAAATGCTTAGTCTCTGAGCTTCTCCCATATAAGCTCTAAGGCAGCCTGCCATTTTGGGGCAAGAAGAAAGCAAATTTGTGAAAGCAGCTAACGCCTCCCCGCCCTGCTCGCAGGGACAGCCCCTAACACCTTCCTCTGCCCCCAGGCAAAGCTTCTGGGAGCCCAACAGACACCCCCATACCCACGGCCCCAGCCATGGAAATGAAAAGCACCAGCAGCACGGCAGCCACCGGAGCCCCCGAAGTCCCCAGCAGTGCCAAGCCAACACCAGAGACATCCGGTAATCGCTCCCCTTGCTCCCCCTGTGATTCCTGGTAGCACTTGCATTAATAATCAGGTTTATTAAGTGCACAGGCTTGCCCTAAGAAACCACATAGTCAGCGCATGGGTTGTGCTCTCAAAAAAGAGCCTGATAGTATGGTCAAAAGCTTTAATCCTGTCCAAAAAAATCCCACCTGGGGCAACCTAACACTGCTGTCTTCAGGACGGGCAGCTTAGACCCATCCTTTTCAAAACAGCCAAGAGATGATGGGACAAAATGCTCATTATTCTTTTATCTCAACATACCTATTCTTTGCTCAGCAAACGGCACCTGTAAGCGGTCTGCCAGCCTTTATGGTAAGCTCTGAAGGGCTATGAAGCAGGGACCCTTGCACAGATGTACGGTGCCCTTCTCTTATGCTGTTTGAAATCAGTACATCTTTTTGAAGACTCTGGGTCAAGGGGGAGGTGAGGGCGATGCAGGGGAGGTCGGGCAATGGCATCCTTGCTGCGGTGCAGCGTATGCCCAGGAAATTAGCCCATTGTAAACAGATTATGAAGCGCATGTAACAATTAGGTAACTGAAGCAAGTCTAATGCGCGTTTCTTATACAGCCAATAACACATTCTGGTACTGCTGGCTATGACAAATCAATATTGTACTTCAGTCATCGCAATGCCACGCATTGATTTTAGAGGACTTAAGCTTTCTTATGTATCCCTTTCATTGCATTTCTTCAAAACCAAAGCTGCGGCCGAGTCCCTGGCATCCAGCCCCACCTCCCCGGGGCTCAGCAGCGAGCAGCCGAGCCCACAGCCCAGCCGAGCCCCCACGCAGCCGCTGGACACCCCCTTGGAGCCAGACCACACGAGCCGAGGGGTCCCCACAACCGAGCACCCAGCGACTCGACCCAGCACGACGGCAGAAACCCCGGGGTCCACGCCAGCTCTGACGAGCTCTCCTGCCACCTCGGGGCATCCTCGCGTCACGGCTGCCACCACGCCACTGCACACAGGCAGGGACAGCCCGAAGGTGAGGATGCGGCTGGACACTGGGGGCTGTGGGACCGCGGTGAGGCTGAACTTCTCTCACAACCTCCTGACAGTTCACTGGTACCACCACTGTGTTTTTTCTCTTCCAGCCCATCACGTGCCACAATGTCAAAGAAGTGAGTGACACTGGAGCCATCTGCTTGCAGCTCAACGAGTCCAACACTTGCGTGAGTTGCAGCCCTGGGTGGCCACGTGTCTCCCGGGGGGGGGACATGCAGGAGGAGGGGGGCTGCAAGCAAACAGCCGAGGGCAGGTTCCTGCAGCGCTCTCAGGCTTGCAGCGATGGGGTCACCCACCGTACCTGGGGGTTCGGTTTGGGGTGGGGAGCTCACACCATTATCCCTGGGGCAGAGCATTTGAGCTGTGCCAAACTGACAGAGGTGGGGATGATCACAGCAGTCCCAGGAGGATCCCAAAGGGATGATCACAGCAGTCCCAAGGGAAATGCAACCTCTTGGTTGTGTAAAACCTCCTTTTTCATGATTAAGCTCTGGGGTCAGTTTAGCTTCTGAAGTATCTCCCACCATGTTTAACGGGAAATTGCCTTTGTTCTTCTTCTTCCTCTTCCCTGTTGGGAAGGCGAGCACCTTCTTCTGTCTTGCCAACTGCCCTAGGAAAGAAAACAGGGCATGTGAAGGAGCACGGGTGGCAGATCAGTGTCCCCATCTGCACCAACTCCTAAGGGAATCCCAGGCTCTCTGTAACTGCCCTTGGCCTTGTGCACCAAAACCGAAGCATTTATAAAAGCAGAAGAGGGTCTGGCTGAGCTACTGTTGTAGGTGGGAGGAAAGAAACCTTTCACACAGGAGGTACAACCTGCAACAGAGGCCAGATGGTGCTGGATCTTGTGGGACAGCAGGTTCGGCAATGCCCAGGGTATAAAATGACAATGATTCATTTTCCTTCTGCTGGTCAGCCACACCGCCACCACCTGGGACGAGTGAATTCTTACTTGGCTTTTCTCTGCAAATTGGCGATTAAATGGCAGTTAGACTTGCTCCTGTTTACAGGGACTGCACTTTAGCAAGAATTCACATGGAAACTCCTCCGGGAGCGAGTGATTCTGATCACAGATGCCATCTAGTGGGCAACGGCACCTCCTGGGCACAGGGCTTGTGCACACTATGCACGCGTTGCATACCTGCACATACATAAATGGATGCATATATAACATTCAGAATATCCTACAGAGTTGTATCTAATTGCACATACTCTTAACCCTCCCTCCATGTGAAACGAGGCAAACTGCCCCACTTCCAACCGTGTTTCTCTGGGAGCTCTCACCCTGCAGCAGACCTCTCCCATGCTTCCACCTCAACTAAGTGGGAAAAACCGGCTCAGGCTCAGCAGCCGCTGAACCTGGAAACCAGATAAGAGCATCTGCGAGGAGAGCAGATAGGAGGGACCGTGCCGTGTCTCACTTTCCTGCTGGCCTTTCCCAAAGCAAATGAGCAATAAGCTGGCACCCAGCGCTGCTAATTGCAAAGGGAAATTCTGACACTCCGATGAGTTCTTTCCACAGCAGAGAAAGGAAAATACACACTTGGGTCTCTTGTTCCATCTTGGCCTTTCTCACCCCAAGCCAAGCTCTATAGAAACAGCTGAAAGTGATTTGTTTGTTATTCTCCCATGGATAAGTTTCTGCATTTTTGTACGCTAAGAGGATGTGGCGATCCGAGCACAATACTGAGAGGAAGGTACTGAGCTGCCCGGCTCTGCACAACACTGCAAGACAAGAGGGTTTTTCTCCTCTTTCACAGCCCCACGTTGGTGGGTACCCCCCAGGGAGCGAGCGGAGGGTAGGGGCAGGATGGGGGATTCAGCTGGAGCCGGTCTTTCTCTCTCTCGGGAGTGGGCATGGCCACAGTTCAGATGATGTCCCCAGCTGGGAGGATGTTAGGGAAGCTGATAACGTCTTTTAGCAACTGTGGGTTCTGTCTTCAAGCCTGACTGTGGCTGAAAATAGACCCGAGGAGAAAGCTTATCCTGTCTGATACAGAAATTGGCCCACAGAAGGGAAAGGCTGCAGCTCCTCACTCCTCTTCCTCTTCCACCCAAGAGTTGGTTCAGCTCTAAAATGTGAGAAATTTGTATTTTTTTGCCTAGCCTTTGATCAGCAACCTAGCAAAAACATTGAAGACATTTCCTAAACAGGAAGGCTCAATGCTTCTTTGTTATTTCCCTCCTTTCCCAGCCGCTGCCTGGGACTCTGAAACAATAGGGCTCTTCAGGCGCCTGTTTCAGTCCAAATATTGGAGGGACTTGCCATGCAATTCAGATCCTAAATTTAGCTTTGTTTAAATGCCATTTGCAAGAGTTGCTAATAATATCTTCATTTAATTTAATCTCATTAAGTTAAGAAACAAGAAATAAGCATCTCCATTTTCTAGGTGTTGGTATTGGGGCTCAAAGCAGTGGTGAAGTGGGAGGTGAAGGTCTGACACCCAGCCCAGTACTGTTTGTCACTTGTTGTCGCTTCTGCTCAGCTTTGCACAGCACAGATAAGCCACCAAAACAGAAAGGGTGAATGCACAACATCATTACCCATAGAAGGTACATCTTCAGCATAGCTGAGATGGAGAATTAGTCGGCTTGGTTGGTTCAATGGCTGTTTGTTTGAAAATTTTGCAGAAACATTTTTTAGAGATGAAGGGATCGGACTTATGGAGTGCAGTATGTGAACAGAGCACCCACCGCGTTCCCTTCCCCTGCCAGATTAAACTCGCTAAATCCGAGGTGGACCGTGACTGTATGCTGCTCATCCTCGTCGGTGAGAGAGGTCAGTTGAGCTAATTCCTTTGGCTGTCGTTGACACCACTGGATAATTAGCTCGATGTGGGCAATGGGAGAGGGAACTGTTTGTGGGGAGAGGCTGTGGAACACAAAGCCTCAGTTGCAGCCTGGGAGGAGACTTCTCTCTGCAACTACAGCTCTTCCTTCTGGGGTCTTGCTAGATCCACGAAGCCACAGCGTTGTCTCCAGAGCAGCGAAGGGGCTCACGGCTCCTCCGTGTTCAGCAATGGCCAGGCTCTTCAATGCTGGCATTAGCTGCGGCGTGACCCTCTACGTAATGTGCCTTTCCTGTTTTAAACCTTGCAGATCCTGCTACAGATATGCTCCAGGAGTCTCACTGGGAAAAGGTAAATTCCTTGAGCAAATTCAGCTGAGAAAAATGGATTGCCTGAGTGGCTGGAGAAAGGAGATTTTAAGATGGTCACCTGAGGCTGGGGCAGACGGCTGAGACCTGAACCTGCCTCCATCCCAGAGGTGCTCGTTGAGCGTTGGCACATGAGATGGTTGGAGCCAACCACCAGACATGCAGTGAGGCAGTGGTGCACCGTAAGAGCACTAATACAACCACTGAAGGCAGAAACGCTTGAAATAGTTACTGTAAAATTTGGTAGTATTTTCTTAAAAAAGGCCTAGATCCCAACAATAACTCTTAGGATGCAATTGGCACTCTGCTTCTTCAAAGTACCATGCTGACATTAATTAATTAATTCCTCCTCTCAACACTCCAGTGAGGCTGCCATCGGCTTGTAAAGCTGAGCTCCAGGTGCCTATATAAATGGCAGCCAACAGAGCTGCAACAGCAGTGCACAGAGATATTTCAGCCCTGCAGATGCATGCTCTAAATCTCAGGGCCTGAGCGCTCTTGTCCAAGGGAGAAAGTTTCCCTGTCCCACAGAAGATACTAGGATGGAAATGAGACCATGAGGATGTGAGAGCTGACAGGGAAAGTGCAAAGCTCAGGAGCTTGGGCAGCAAAGCTTTGTTTACATGCAGTTCAACGAGGAGGTGAAGAGCAGCATTGTTTTAAGCTGCAGATGCACATGTTTCCTGTTTGTCAGACTCCCGACTCTCTTTGGTGTTTTTTCCAGTTTGGAATAAAATCCCTCAAACGGGGGAGCGTGAGGAACCACCAGGACTTTTCTCAGAAGACCCTGATCGCCTTGGTCACATCTGGACTCATGCTGGCGTTCCTGGGCTTGGCTGGATATTTCCTGATGAAGCGGCGGAGCTGGAGCCCCGCGGGGGAGAGGCTGGTTAGTGCTTATAGATGGCAGAACAGCCGGTAGAGAGGAGCCCGGCGGCGCAGGCGG